ATGGATAAAACTTTTCAAATTCTGTATTCTTCGATTGCACGTTACGTCATCGCGGCCATGTTGGTGCCATTTAACAAAAGATTTCTCATTAGCATCCATTGTTAACGGCACCAAAATGCCCGCCAGGTTTTTGTCTTTTGACTCTCTTGGGAATGCTTGCAACCCATCAATAGAGTTACCTCGATTTTGTATCATGATGAAATTACTTAGAATATTCGTTCCTTCTAGTGAAGGCCCGTGGAATTTCAAAGTGTCATTGTATTGTTGTATTTGCAAATATTGAAATTATTGCTCTCGTAATTGAACACTGAAATGATGCTAACCCTGTATAAATGTGTCTTTGATAAAAAAAGACACAGCAATACTACGTTGACTAATTCGAAAGGGGTTTAGAGTGACCACCGTAAATCCGTGAAACTTTAGTAATACTTAATAGCACAATTTCATTCAAATTCCATTGTTTTCTATTGTTTAGCCAGCACTATTTTGTAAATGAACACTGAAATGATGCTAACCCTGTATAAATGAGTCTTTGATCAAAAAAACACAGTAATACTACGTTGACTTTTTCGAAAGGGGTTTAGAGTGACCACCGTAAATCCGTGAAACTTTAGTAATACTAAATAGCACGATTTCATTCAAATTCCATTGTTTTCTATTGTTTAGCCAGCACTATTTTGTAGTATTTAGTAATTAGTGTTTCACGGATTTACTGTGGTCACTCTATTGGTAAGAACTTGTAAATAAAGATGCATTGAGGAAACGTGTAGCAGTAGATGGAATTTTGTTGAAGTGTCTTATGCAAACAAATGTCAAATATTGTCAATTGGGAAACAGCGAATGTTTTGTTTTATTAAAACCATACTGGGTGATGAGAAAACAGTGTTGTTTTGAGGCATACTGTCCTAACAATCAAATTGGTTATAAATACACCTGTCGTATGGGAAACAGATATCACGCCTACTCGATGTCCCAAGCTTGATATCTGACGCAGCTTTAATTTGACCCTATATTCAGTGTCAACGTTCGAGGATTCTTTGCTAGGACTCTTTACTTGGCTAAGTACTTAAGTTTAGTCCCCAAAAAGTTCTAGCCTGGTTGTGGGTGTGAAGCTAGGATTCCTCTGAGGCAGACCTCACAAGTAAATCTATCTTTGAAGATTTGGAACGACCATTACAGACTCGGTCATACAGTATATCCATTCTAGAAGCTCTTTTCATCCATTGACAAGGTAAGTAACTAGTGTTTGTGTAGAAAAGAATATGAATCAAAAGAAGG